TCTACTAAGATTTACGTACAAATCCCCTCAGAGACAGTTTTTTTTTCTGCTTTTTCTCCACAAACACTCCTTGTACACAGTTGTATATCTTAGTTGCAGGTCCTTCTAGTTGTGGGATGTGGGACGCCGCCTCAACGTGGCCTGACGAGTGATGCCATGTCCGCACCCAGGATCCAAACCCTGGGCCACCGCAGCAGAGCGCGCGAAGTTAACCACTCAGCCATGGGGCTGGCCCCAGAGCCAGTTTTTATTGACTGCTTTTTTTTCTTGTTTATGGGCCATACTTTTCCTGTTTCTTTGTATGTCTTATATTTTTTGCTGAAAACTTGACATTTTAGAGAGTATAGCAACTCTAGATTGTACCCCTCCTCCCCCCATTTTCTCAGGTCAGTTGTTGTTGCTATGTTTTTGTTTTGTGGTCAACCAGTGATTGTTTAGAGATTGTGGTTAAACTGTGTGAATCAGTGAGGCTGCTACCATTTGCTGAGAGTGTCTGTGTATGGGTTAGGGCATTCAAAATTCGATCAGTTTATAAGTCTGTCCTGGCTTTTACTTTCTGCTTGTGCAAGGCTTCCCATTCACCAGGAATGTGTGGATAGCTGGGGCCCTCTGTGGTCTCTTCTGTGCTTGTGTGTAACTTTCAAGATCCCCGAGAATATGTGGGAGCTTATCAGAGCACACTATGACTATCTTATTCTGCAGATTTCCCTGTTAAATATTTAGTTGTCTGTTGTTCGTCATTCATTGCTGTTGGTTTCAATCGCATGGAGCTTTTCAGTGGAGATCCAAATCATACTAGTCCCCTCCAGCAGCAGGAAGGCTGTTGATCCTCATACCTACTGTTGTGTTGTACTAGGGGTTGGGAAGGAGTAGCTCCACGTTAAAACATTATTGTGTCTCTTATTGCAGTTTACTACGTTTTCTTATGTAAATATTTCTCAATTTGTTATATATCTCTAGTCAATTTCCAGAATTGTTGTTTTGATAATTTTGACCAGTTTTGTCTGGGGAAAGGTCTGCTGAGCTTTTCATTCTGGCATTCTGGAAGTCCCACCTTCCATCACCACTTTTATAACAACTTTATAACTGTTTATTTTGCTCCTGCTCTCACTTGATTCTAATCCATTCTTTCTCTACCAATAGCCTGAGTGATATTTTGAAAATGGAGTCTGACCATGTCACTTTCTTGGATTAAACCCGTTGCTTTGAGGCTAAAACACAAAGATATTACAGTCTACAAGGCTATGAATGATTTGGCTTCTGCCTCTCTCTGCAGGCTCATCTTGATCCCTCCTCTGCACTTGTTCTCTTTTGGCCACAGGGCCTTCTTTTACCTCTGGAAGGCACCAAGGTCCTTCCCATGTTAGAGCTTTCATAGAAGCGGTGCTCCATTTGAGTGCTTTACTGTGCTTCTTCAATTGATATCTTCTCCTTGTCCATCAGGTCTCAGTTTTCCTGACATTTCCTCAAGGAAGCCTTTCCTCAGCTCTGTTCAGACCAGAATGGATTTCCTCAACTTCGTCGTCATTGCACACTGTTTTGCTTCAGTACTTAGCATATTTACAATGAAATATATATTTGTGAAATTATTTGTTGAATTAATATCTCTTTATTTACTTGTAATGTCTTTGAAGGCAAGGCATTTTCTCATTCCTTATTGTATCTTCCAGCTTAGTGCCTGTTACGTAGGAAATTCTCAATAATATATGAATGAGAATGATTCTATAGATACATATGAATGGGCACTTGACCGGGTGAGGAGAAAGCCTATAGGGACAGCTTTGGAGGAGGTGATAAATAAGTTGAATCCTAAAGTATGTGTAGTAAACAGCCAGTATGCATTTAAGGTAGCTTCTGAAAATATCAGTGGGTTTAAAATGCCTCCTGTCTGGTATTGCACAGTCATTAGTATATTTGTCCCAAAGGTTTGACAATGTATAGGATTCAACCATTTAAAATGGCATTAATTATATGCATTATTACATTTATATTTGTAGCTATATATGTAGTGGAACTCGCTACTGGGACTTCTTGCTAATCTGACCCTGAGTTTGATTTCTAGCTTTAATAGTAAGCTTCTGTCTTGTTCGCTTTCCTTGTCTTGGTCATGTGTTTCCTATTCCAGCATCCTTGGAACTAGGGCTCTGTTCTCTTTGGATAAGACCCAACCCCAAATTCTCCAAAATAGGCATTTGACCCAAAACTCAAGCTTGGCAGCTGGGAAGCTGTCATTTGATTTGCTATAATACCTTTCTTAGGATTTTTGGAAACAAGGTGGGGATGGAAAGACACCTATAGCATATCCCTGTAGCTGATTAGACACCTGTAGCACATCCCCATAGCTGATGTATTTCACAGTAGCTAATGTTCAAGGAAAGAATGGAGTAGCTCAGTTTAGAATTATTTGTATCAAAGTAGAGTTACATAAACTTGGACCTGAAGGGCTAATTCCACACTATCTCTAAAAAATTTGGTTGTGAAAATAAACAAACAGAAAACCTTGTTCCCTAAGAGTTCTTTATTACCAAGGTTTTTCTATACTGCAGATAATCACCGTTGATATTTTAAAAATTGCCTTGTTTAAAAAGAGAAGGGACTCTAGGAAAATATTATAGAGTTCTGCTTCTTCATTGATTTTAGATTTTGTTAGCTCTGGAAGCAGAACTTTAGAGATTACGTACCTTGGGCCTTCAGGAATGTCCATCTGAGGATGATTGTTGGTATGCAATATTAACATTATGTAATAATAGTAATAGTAATTGTAATAATTATGATGATCTTTCATGTAGTTAGAACTCAGGCAGGATAAACTGAATATGCAACAATATATTTTGGGCAGGGTTTGGTTCTTCATTTGTTGGTCTCACGTCAAAGATATATGCGTTTGGTGGGTCTAGGTGAAATGGCTATTATACATTAAAAACAATAAGGAACCTTCTAAACTTCTGATACTCAGGAAGTTTAGCATACTGCAGCTGATTGGCATAAACTGCTGTATTTCCCACAGAGTTAAAGCTGAAAGAAGAAAGTCTGGATGAATCGTTGCTGGGCATATGTTTCTTGAATTGTTGGCTATTTTGGTGTCAACTTTTATGTTGAAAGTTTCATGTTTTAATGACAAAAATATTTACTGGAAATTATAGCTTGGAAAAGAGAACCACTTTCCGGCTTCTGCAAAAAGCTAGGTAAAGCATTGATGTGGGGTAAAGTAGCTGTGGAGTTTTATATTCAGATTGTATGAACAGTAAACAGAGCATCTAAAATAACCACTTGCACATTGCAACAAACACATCATCATTTGCTTAAAAAAGAGTTATAATTACAGTTGACGAAGCATGGACACCATAAAAAATGCATTAGTTTGGCTTGACACATTAATTACCTGTTTTTGCAGATGTTTTTATGTATTGTTGTGTGAACAGTTTACAAAATAATTACAGGAAAGTCATATGGAAAATAAACTAAGTGGGTGGTTTCTCGTCTAAATATTTTCATTCATGTGGATCTGTGAGGCACAGCTGCTGTGTAGCAAAAGCAGAGAGACAGATGAGGATTCTCGAAGGGTTTTTTATTAGATGGTCTCTGTCATCAGTATCACCACATTTTTATATCTTTAGTAACACAGTTTAAAAACATTAAAATGAGAGGGTTGGTTTAATCCCTGTGATTACTAAAAAAAACTTGGTTCGGACCAGAAAAAATGTAGATATCTACAAGTATTTTAAAGTAAACCAAACTAAACTAAAAAGCTCTAAATGGAAAACTGCCACTATTTCAGCATAGTCATGCACCCCATAACGATGTTTTGGTCAACGATGGAGCGCATTTATGACAGTGGTCCTTTATATAAGACTAGTACCGTAGAGCCTAGGTATGTAGTAGGCAAAACCATCTGGGTTTGTGTATGTCTACTCTATGATGTTTGCACAAGGACAAAATCATATAAGGACACATTTCTTGGAACGTATCCCTTTTGTTAAGTGATGCATGACTGTACTAGCAGGTTATTAGGCACTCTGAGAAAGAGTTAATCATATTTTTGTAATTACCGGAGTTACATTGTTTTATATAACTTATAGCTTAAGTTATATCTTAACAATTAAAAATCGAGTCTTGTATAAATTGCACAGAAGTTCAGCTTATCTATTCTTTTTTAGGAAGTATTGAACATGTAAACCTGGTTTTTCTCGGAAGCTTACTTTGTTGGCATTAGTGGTCTCAAACTGTGTTTCATTTGAAAAATAACCAGATCATTGTGTAGACATATTGTACTTTTACTAATTGTTAAGAAACACATTTTCCAAAATTGTAATTGTGAAACAATAAAAAGAGAGTTTATAGACTTCATTCTATTTTATGTAATGGTTTATAATTACTTAGAAAATCTGCAGTGTATTTCCCTCATTGATACTGTTATGACAACTTTTCATAAAATTAAATTAAAATGTAGCGTCTCTTATTAGACCAACCATGCCACTTCTATGCTCTGTTCCTCTACATTCCTTTTCTATGAATTTTGCCTACACAGATGATAAAGACAATTATTGTGCATGTTTTCTGACATGTGTTTCATATAACTATCGTTTAAGTTAGAGAAAGGCACTAAGTTATAGAAAGAGGTAATTGGAGCATCTCTAGGCAGGAAGGCATCGTTATCAGACCATGTAAATATTGGTGCAAAATTATTCATTTACGTTTCCATTCATTTGTTTAACAAAATGTTGTTGAAGGTCCTCTATATGTAATGTTCTAGGACAATGTTGAGATGACTATAAGCATTGAGATGACTGCGTCTGAACGTAATAGATGCTCAGTAACTCTTAGGCAGCTCTCCTTCTGAAGGGGTAGGAGTGGCAGGAATAAGTGGTTTGGAGAACTTTGTCACTCTAGTGGCTTACTTAAAAACCAATTGTTGGGGAGGATTTTCTTTGTTATCCTGAGATACTCTCAGAGGATTGAGTGACACATTCTTTGAATTGCTTAGATGTGGGAGATACATCTGTTCATGTTAAATCAATCTGAAGAAAGATGGAGTGGAGTCTGTTCTAATTCTGGTATGCACTAAGTTGATTTATTTTTTAGGGTGGGGATGCATTAAAAATGTGAAATTTGTAGGATTGAGAAGAATTAACTGCTCGTGATCAGTAATTCTGTTGATCACTTTACATCATCTCTAAGGAAGAGTATGTGATTCAGTATCATGACTTAAGGAAAATAATTGTTGGACTTTAGAGTCTTCCATGGATTTGCTACTTCTCTTAAGGTGTCTCTTATACTCAGTGAAGGAATGAGCAAAAGCCTTTGTGGGGGTTGGGGAACTTTCCATATTTACCGGTGTGGCAGATAAAAAGTTCTTAGTTTATGTGGAGTTTCGTTTCCAAATTTTCCCCTTATTTTTATTATATCTCATATGGCAAAATTTTAGCTCCTTGGTTTTAATTTGTTCCTTTTTCCTTTAGTATATTGCTAACTCTTTTTAATCTTTTTACCTTAATCTTTTAAAAGCCATTTGATTACAGCATAAGGGAAATTTAGAGGATTATTACTGTTTTCTTAAGGGACACTTAGGGGGTTGATTATTTATTTACTTTATTTATTTATTACTTACCAAGAGTTTATTGTCACAAAGAGATGGGCCAGGCAATGTTGTTTTGAAGAGATTGAGTGATTAGTGGTTTGGGTACTACCCTTTAAAATTGCAAAACAAAGAAAAATAGGTTGGGGAGCAGAAAGAAATGGTTGAATCTAAGAGAAGGCTGACTCTGTAGGTGTTTAGCACTCTATGATTTAATGATGTGTTTGTTTTCATTCAGTATTAGTGATAGTGGAAAACCTGCTGAGCAGCATTGAAAGTGATCATAAGTGAGGCGGCGCCTGGGTATGAATATTATTATGACTTTTGCTTTTACTATCCTTTGATGACTTTGAACTTCGAGGGGTCACATTACACTTGGTTTTGAAAAAACATTAACAGGGGGTTGGTTAAATGCGAATGGGAAGCCGATTCCTTGACTGACCACGTTCGTGTTATACTCGGAAAGGCTGATGGCTCCAGAGTTGTGGTAGACGTGTAGAACCATAAATTACTGTTCTTCTCAAGGTTGCCTTTTGTTGTCAGAACACTTAGCATAAGTCAGAAATGGTAGGCTATACCTGAAAAGAACAAAAAGAACCCATTAAGTATAATCAGTCAGCACTTAAAAAGACTATAACCACCAAGGCCATCTCAAACAGTCATTCTTTTATGTGACTGAAGTTATAAAAAAAAAAAAAAAAAGGAAGCACCAACAAACAAAAACTCATTCCAGCAAACCCAGGTTGATTTCAGTGTTCTTTCTAATGTGATAAATCTGAGTGAAAACCGAGCGTGCTTGACCAATACAGCAGCATAGGGCCTATTGAAGAATGTTTGTGGAGTAGAGAAATAGAGATAAGAATATAAGATGTGGCTAAGTAGAGTTTTATGTGGGGATTAATTCTGTGCATGTGGTGAAAATCAAGTATAGTTAAAATACTCTTAAAATATCTCATAAAATACAGATGTAGACATACTGTCTTTCAAGAAGTCTAACATCGCCACTCCTTCCTCTAGCATTGCTCTTGTTTTGCTGGTCCAATGGTGAGGCATTAGCTATATTCTTTTCAGTGCCTAAGGGTAAAATAACAGAATTGGAAGAACTGCTATTTATTCTCGGTTGTGAAACTGATTTTCATTAGTTCTGTGAGTAAAAATGCCATTTTGGCTTTTTATGGGTAAATGAGAAAAGGCCTTTGTTTCCCAAAGAAGTCTTTGGGTAACAAGGATGTTTGAGAGACCAGTTTTTCTCAGAAAGGCTCCTTCTCTTTACATAGTGTGGAATTTATACCTCTTTGTAGCTCTGATTTTTTTCTGTGTGCTTGTCTGTCATCTTCAGTCTCTCTCCTTCTCTCTGATTCTGCTCTGCTACGTTGTCTGATAGGCTCCTGTCTCAACTCCTTATGTTTATTTTCTCTTCATCTTTGTTCCCATACTCACTTGTACTTGTCCTGTGCTCTGTATTTTGCTTGTTCTACTCACTAACAGCAGGATAATCGAATTCAAATTCAGTTACCTGAAGTGTGGTGTCAGAAGACCTGACTTAGGTTTAGCTTCGTATTAATTTTGTACCTGAGAAGGCATTTCACATCCCTGAGCCTCAATTTCCTTAGTTATAAAAGGAAGGTACTCTATCTTCTGTAAATAGAATTTGATATAATGAAGGAGTTCCAAGTGGTGATGACTTCTTGGATAACTTAGAATTTCATGATCCTATTATCTGTAGACTATGCCTTGTATAAAACTTCTCTTAATAACTTAAGTCAGAGTTGGTGCTCTGAGAAACGCAAGATAGGCAATCCAGTGTTTCTAATAATTTCAGTGATAACTTTGGAATTTCTTCTCATTTCTATTCAGTTATACTCTCTTCTTTCACAGATCACACTGTATAACCACCTTATATCCATCCTTTCTCCTGACCAGAAATTGATAACATAGAGTAAAGAAATACACGTTGACACAGTATACATAAGACGTCTTTTATGGGACACCAGAACTTTTTGACATAAAGATTTGTAAATAATGGGAGCAATTTGTCTCTTTTGAATAGCGAAGACTGGTGGAAATTCTTGCTTTATATGAATGATTAACAGAAATGTAGAGAAACTTATTGAAGATAGTGGTTTATCTTTAAGTAGAATGTAAAATATGTTTCCATTTTTAAAAGCATTTATTAAGTGTCTACCTGGATATATGACTGAAGAAATAGTATAGCCACATGAGATTTTAATGAGATTAAAAGTTGAATTCCAGATAACCTACTTTTCCTTAAAAAATAATCGTTATGTGCTGTGTGTCTTAAAATGAAGATAAATTAAGGGCAGGGTCAATTAAAATTTTTAATCAATATCTCTTTAAAGTCACATTTTTCAATAATTTGATCAGTTAGAATTATTCTGGAAATCTACAGAGTAGTCTTTTCTTTCCTGGTACTCACTGTCCTCGGTAAGTATCCAGCAGCAGAAATCTACAAGAGGTATTTTTCATCCTTGGCTGCTGCTATTGATCAGTAGTGGTTGTGACCTACTTTTAAGGGGCTGATAAGGAAGGAGTCGTAGTATGTATATTTAAGGTTACATTTAAAAAGCCTTCCAGTATTTCCATCACTTTGTTGTTTCCATGGAAGCGGAACCACTATCATCAGCAGGAGTCCATTTCAATTGCTGGCTTCCGGTTCTTGTTTCTCTGTTACTATGGAGACTGCCCAGAAAGTGACAGAAAAACCAAAAGTTTAAAAAACAGTGATTTGATTACAAAATATGGTTTTAACTCTAGCTTTAATTAGGTGTTCTATAATCTTGGCAGTTTTGAATTTCAAATTATTTTGGGGAGAAGTTGATTTTTTTTGACAAAAGCAAATTTCAAAGTTTTATTAAAGTTTAATCACACTGAATTAAAAACTAAATTGCCATAGTTTCTATTAGAGTTGAGCCCAAGATGAATCAAAAATTCTAAATGGGAATTTAAGTTAGGGCTTGAAAGGTATAACCTAAAATGAGAAGAGCTAATGATAATGGGTATAGCAGTTAGAGTTTACGAACGGTAAAGTCAAAACTAAAGTACTAGTAGTATGTATAAATAGTGAGTATTTCTTATTTATATGGCACATTTTATCTTCAAAATATGTTATACTTAGGTGATTTTCACAGATTATGACCATTTTTCAAATGAGTAAAGATAAAATCCTTGTGTTTAGAAATTAAGTAAATTTTAAGAACAGAGGAAGGAAGTATACTGAGAGTAATTGAGATTTGAGGAGTTGGAGAGTTAATACATTTAAATTGTTCCAGTTACAAAGCAATAGAGATTTTTTTCCTTTACCAAGACCAGTTATATTTGTGAATTACTCATAAAGGAGAGAAGAGATGAAATAGTAATGTAAAAACTGTAAAGGGAAGTTATTTAGCAAAATTGTAGTCCCAGCTTTGTTGCAGTTTTTCTTTGAGGTCTGTATTCAGTGAGGGTTCTTTGGTTTGCATGTGACAAAATCCACATTCGAACCGCCTTAGGCATAGAATGGCAGGAAAGTAGGTACAGCTGAAATCAGGGACCCCAGTCACACTAGGATTTCTTTTTTTGTCTCTTTTATCTGCTTCTCTCTGTCAAGTTCCTTCTTTCTGATTGGCTTTTTGTGCATTGGCAGAAACCATGGCTGCTGGCAGTTCCCACTCCTCTTATTTCCATCATCAATAACAGAGAAGGACTGATCGGCCCAGTTTGTGTTGCGCCAATTCCTCCCTTTTCCAACTGTGGCCAAAAGGGTGGGATTCTAACATTGGCTCAGCTTGTGACAAAGGAGCTCACCCTTGGCTAACTAGTAGTGACTGGGGGACTGAGATCTGCAACGAGATACCGGCTTTCATTCAAACCGTGTTGTTAAGAGTTGATAGCGGTGGCAGTGGAGAGGTGGAGGAGCATTCAGGGGAGGAGAAAGGGGCATTTCCCAGAAGAAATAGAAGATGCTGTTCCAGGCAGAAATAAGAAGAGGTTTTTCCACTAGTAGTCTTTTGGGGAAAGATGTCTGCTTTACTATGAATCAGTTCACTTCAATTCAGCAAACCACGTAATATTATTTTATAGGATTTGGTTTTGAGAGAAAAACCAAGATCGAACACCTTTACAATTTAGTGCGTCCAATATTACTGGCTCTGTTGTAGTTTCTTTTATGTCTGTTGTCTCCATTAATCTCCACAGTCACTTCAGGTATGTATTTCCATTTTAGAGAACGAGGAAGAGGTTCAGAGAGTTGAGATGACCTATCATCAGTCACATGACTAATGAGAGGCAGAGTCAGAATTCAGATAACCAAGGTTTCTGGAATGTAATCTAGGGCACTTTCCACTGTATGATACTTGCTTTTTGGTTAACTTCATTCAGAAGATGCATAGGGTGGGGGCTGGCCCCGTGGCCGAGTGGTTAAGTTCCCGCACTCTGCTGCAGGTGGCCCAGTGTTTCGTTGGTTCGAATCCTGGGCGCGGACATGACACAGTTCATCAAACCACGCTGAGGCAGCGTCCCACATGCCACAACTGGAAGGACCCACAACGAAGAATATACATCTATGTACCGAGGGGCTTTGAGGAAAAAAAATAAAATCTTTAAAAAAAAAGAAGATGCATAGGATGAATTATAAAAACAGTACTATGTATTAAGTGCTTTGATAAAAATGAATCATGAATAGTATAGAATATTATTTATGAAAGGAACCTTAGAGATCATATCCTATAGTGGTTTTTAAACTTTTTGGCTTTCGGCCATGGAATCCTTTCTTCAAATGAAATGTTATATCACAGCCAAGCACATAAAGTGGATAAAAGCATAGGATCATCCCACTTTGGAGAGGAGAGAACCCAGTGCTTCATGGGCTGGTACACCTCTTTTTTAACATCTTGAGGTCTTTGGAGGCCACACTGAATACCTTTTGTTTAGGGAAACTGAGAGCCAGACAAGGTAAATGACGTGTTCACTTTCTCATAATTGTATATTACAAGGATTTCACTCACATTCTTGTTTTTAGTTGTAAAGTGGGTAACAATTTATTGTTAATGAAAAAATCATGAAGCTTTTAAAACTCAATTAGAGTGAATCAGTTACCTTGAATAATTTTACTCTCTAGTTTGGTGATACTTTTACAGCATGTTATATCCATGTCACAGCTGTTATTAAACATCTGTCGTATTTAGTCCTATTGGTTGAGTCGGACAACGGTATAGTGTCTGGACTAGGCTAGTCTTTTGTCTTCAGAGCTTTTTGCACTACATTTCTCGTATAGTGACTCATCCTATAAATTATATCAAGTTCTCTGTACATGTTTAAATGGGAGAGTTTCAGATTTTGGATAAATGAAATTCATGGGGATAATATTTAGATTTTGCTGAAATTAGTAACTTTGACGTTTGTTCCAGTTTTGAATCTCCCTTCTTTTCAGTTAGCAACGTGTACAAACAATGAATTGGGTAAAAGGGAGATAATCTTCAGATTGGATAAAACAAAGTTTATTTATTTTTTACATGTCCAGAATTTTGTTTTCTTCTTTTAGGAGAGTCAAGTCCTACCCGTCGAGAAGCTGTGAAGAGAAGAACAGCCGAGTATCTCATGCGAGCGGAGAGTCTCTGTAGCCTTTATAAAGGAAAACCTCAACTTGATGACGTAGCTCAGGTATGTCTCATCTTTCATTTTGTACTTTCTTTAGCCATTTTTCCTGTCTTGTCTCGGCTTTATTTCTAATTAGAATGTTTGAGAATTTTGGTCTTTGGAATTTTATCAGTAATTTTCTTAAAAGTTATTGGTGGAAAGAAAAGTGTTAAAGCAAACCAACCAAACATGGAATAAAATGGGGCTTGCTTTCTCCTTCTCTTTCTCAGTCCGTTGTTTCTTACTCCTTCCCTAGTATCCCCATGTGTAGGATGACAGTAATTTATACTGAATTTTATTTGAATTTTTTTAAGTTATGGTTCTTGTACAATTTCTTTATAGTTTTATTGATTCATGCTAAAATTAATCATTTAAGCATAAGCCCTACAAATATCTGCTATAGATCACCTAGAATTATAAAGGCATAATTCTAACAGGAATGTTTAGCTTATTTGGGACTACCTAGTCTTGTCTTGTCTAGAAAGCAGATGAATGCACAAAATATTAGAACATTGTGAATTATTATTATTGTTTTTATTTCATTTCCATCTGGATTTGGCAAATTCTGGAAGAAACTTTTCTGTTATTTTTTCTTTATATTAAACTAATTTTTTTCTGATGCAATTTAAGAATCATATCTTCTAGAGATGGGAGAAACTGTTTATTTTCTTAACTGATCTAAGAGGCAAGCAGGCTTGGATGTCTACATACAAATCAAGTGCCTGCCTTGTAAAAAGATCAGCCTCTCAGCCAAGCTTTTGTAACTTTATAACTAACTTAATAAGTTTTAGCCCTGTTTTTCATCTCTCTCCATATATGGCTTTATATACTTTTTTCCTCTTTTTTTTTTATGCTTTACATGCTTTTTCAAAATTATAAAATGTCTCAATTTTCTAGTTTATAAACGGCCCCAAATTTAATCTTGATTCATTGGACCATTAAAACTTTTTGTTGTTTATTTTCTGAGTCCTTTTCATTTTCTGGGTGACCTTTTAAAACATGCAGTTATCAAAACTATCCATATTAGTGAGAATTTTTGATGTTAAGAGTTTGACCATTCCTTTTACAACAGAAAGATTATACTCCAACTTGGAAGTAATATACTCTCGTTACTTGCTCTAACATAATGAGTATGCTGTAAGATATCTGCTGACTCATTTTCAGATTGTTAATTATTGTGACTCTTTATTCTGTATTCTCTTTGCTAATTTTTCCTATTTTCTATCGTTGATTCTTAAATTATATTACTAAATTTATTTCCTTTAACTCTATACGATTGAATTTTATCTTTTTTTAAATGGAATATTTATCTAAAGATTACTTAGAATTCAATTTCTTATTTTCTGTGCAGTTGGCAACCCTTTTCATTCGCAATCCTGATGTATACATTCTTAATTCTGTTTTTGAGGACATTGATAAAAGTATTAAATAGGATGGACCCCTATGAACTTACTTATTTTACTAAATCCATCTTGTGTATAAATATTCTAAAAGTTTTACAGAGTCAAAATTACCAGTATTCTATTCTTCCTGTTAGCGTTAACTTTGAACATTCTACCGATATTTACTCTTTCAAACTCCCTACTTACACATTTCCTGTTTTAGTTCCCCATAATCATGTCTATGGAGGAATAATTTTTTAGGCAAATAAATATATAAAGCCTTCTGTGTAGCTTTTGACTTGGAGAAGGGAACCATGAAGCATATCAGCCAGAATTTCCCTTCAGTCATAGCTTCTAATGGAAATTAAACAGAAGATGGCAAATACAGGAAAGCTGATTGTATTAGGT